GCTTGTTCTAAGTAGGTGCTTTAGACCACTGAGCCATCTCACCAGCCCTTCCTCCAGGTTTCTACACGGCAAATATTGAAGCTGCCTCCCAGTATTCTGAGAGTTGGTTCTTGTGTTTTTGGCATGCCGATATTCACAGTGATCCTCACCTGCTTTCCCCAGCTCTGGGCCTCAGATTACCCCAGCCAATCATAACCATGAAGGTGAGGAAATCTCACAAGGCTCTGCAGAAAACAGCAAGAACTTTTTACACTAGAGCTTCTGAATTAAAAGAAAACCAGTGCTGGGTGAGGTGGCACTTACCTGTAATCCCAGCACTTGGGAGGCTGAGGCAGGATGATCACTGTGAGTTTGAGGCCAGCCTGAACTACATGGTGAGACCTTGTCTCAAAAGCAAAAGTGAAAAAATAAAAAAATGAATAAAAGAAAAAACAAAAAGTTCCTTCTCTTATGCTATCCGCATGCCTCTGAAAGGTAGATTTACCCAACCCAAGCCCTTTACCCTTCTCGCTTTACCATGTTGCATTTTTCTTTCACAGTGCTTCAGAACCAGTGTACAGGGTCCAAGTTTGTTTTAAAATAACCTAAAGAGCCGACAGACGGAGCTCCTGGAATTCTGCAGCTTGCACTGCGGTCCACAGATGGGAAATTGCCGTCAGTTAAAGGGTGGTGCTATTACCATAGCCCGATGGCTGAAAGCCTTCAGGAAAAAAGAATCATCTGAGTTAATTAGCATTCACCACAGGCTCTAGTGCTGTGCTGCAGTATTCGAGGAACTCAGATAATACAAAAACACAATAGTGCCATCTCTAACTTCTGATACTGTCTTAAAATGTAGATTATAAGGAAATAATTTTGGCCTGTTAAGTATGCTTTTATGGCTCATCTATATAGGCTTAAATCATTATGAAATATGACTTATGTTTTAAAATCAACTAACTTTTCATGGTACCTAAAATAGGAGTGATTTCATTTTACCTCTCCAATTTGCTTCATCCACAAATCTCTTCCAAGAAATTCCTGATGTAAAACCACAGGTGCTGAGTTTAGATTAAAAGTCACAGAATCACTGGTCTTCTCTTTAATGAAAGGCTGAAGGTCAGAGTGTATCTAAAAAAAGCAGTTGAAAGAGTTACATCAACAAAATGTGTATATACCAGTATATGTGGTCATATTCAGGAAGCACCAGTTAATGCAGTGAAGAATGGAATTTACTTTAATAAACAAAAGAACATTTTGGGTAATTGACAATAACCTTTAAAATTCTTCAGAATTTTTCCTTTCTCCTTCTCTCCCTCTTCTTTTCTTGCATCCTTAGGCACTGGAGGGCAAATCCCAGGCCTTGAGCAGTTAGGCATATGCTTTACCACTTAGTACAGCCTCAACCCCATTCTTTTTTTATTTGGTGTTTTAATTTTAAGTTCAAGGTAAGGATTTATTTTATTTTTTAAGGTAAGGATTTAGATAAAGATTTAATAAATATAACTACTTAACAAACTATTTAATAAAACACGCAAAACTTCATCAAATTATATTGGGAAAATATACACTAGCTAGAAATTTAAAGTTATAGAGAGAGAAGAAGGAAAAGGGAGAGAAAGCAGGGGAGGGGGGAGCGAGAGAGTGACAGAGAGACAGAGAGGCAATAACACTCTGGGTGTTATATTTTATTTCATATGCCATGCAAATGAATCAGTTATTAGAATTTTATCAATATATTTCTAAATTTTGTTAACTTTCCATATTTATTTTACATAAGCAACTATAAGGGAACTTTGATAAAGATGACAAATATATTTTTCCATTCTGTGAATAGTAATATTACCTGTTACTTAATAATTTGTATGAGTTCACTCAGAAACCCTTTCAGGTAGAAAGAAAAGACAAACATGAGAAGCTTAAATAAACCATAGCTTCTGTCAGAATTACACAGTACTGACCAAGCACACTGTTTGCACTGCCTAACAATCACTGTAACAGATTTTAAACACATAATGAACATTTTCTGAGATACAAAAGCAGCTTATTAAATGGCAAAAGGTTTCCTGTTTATCATCTTGGCTGTTTAACCACGGTGACAGCTAAGGGTGTGCACACACCTTGTGACTCATGGCCACGTGCTTCCCATACTGGAAGGCCGTGCCCTGCACCTCAGTGCCATGCTTCGCCAGCTCCATCGCAGCCTGGCAGCTCTTCGCGAGCAAGGCCCCATGGGAGAGAAAAGTCTGCTCCTTCCAAGTCGATATTCCAATATCATCTGTGATATCATTT